TTTTTTGGTACCAGGGATTGAACTCGGGTCCTTGAGCTTGCAAGGCGGGCCGAACGGCCACCGAACCAGTGAGCTAAATCCCCAGCATCCTGTCCTGTTTTGTGATCTGCCCACATGTAGCTGCTTTCCTGCTCTTCACTCCAGGTGCCCGGATTTGCTTGATGGGAAAGAGCAAGAACTTTGAAACCAGATTGTCTTAAGCAACCGTACTGGCTTCTCTCCATACGGAGTGTGTAACATACCACTGGCACACACCGCAGCTCTGGGGCTGCTTCCTTGTCAGTGCCCACCTGCTAGTTGTTGAGTGGCTGGACAGAAGCTTGTCTTGTGCTCAGCCTTTCCTTTGAGGCAGGGATGGTTCTGGAAAACTGACACCCGAGCCTCGAGTGCACCATCAGAATCGGTCAAGGGTGAGGGTGTGAGTTGCTCCTGCCTCTGACGCCTGAGCTGCTTTCCGCATGGGCTCCACAACTGTGTCTCGAGGGGACACCTGCAGTATGGGGGCCCCTTGGCCCAAGAACTTCTGGCTCTCAGAAATGGCCCCTGCTGTACTCAGGAGGCTGAGGCAGGAGGATTGTGAGTTCAAGGCCAGTGTCAACTACATAGTGAGTTTAAGGCAAGCCTGGACTATACAGTAAGACCCTGTCTCAAAAAGGGTAGGGGGACTGGAGATTTAAGAGAAAGGCTCTGAGTTCAATCCCTAGTACAAAAAAGAAGACGGAGGAGGAGGAGGAAGAGGAAGAGGAAGAGAAAAGAAACCAAGAAAAAGCCAGGCATGGTGGTGTGTGTCTGTAATCCCAGCACTCAGGAGGCTGAGGCAGGAGGATCACTATGAGATGGAAGCCAGCGCACCAGCTCAAGGCCAGCCTCGACTACATAGGGAGACCCTGTTTCAGAAAAGCAAAACAAACCAAAAAAAAAAAAGGAAAACAGAAATGTTCCCTGTTTTCTTGAGCGCATTTGCTGGCCCTGAAGAACAATTCCTTTGTACTTTCCCCACACACCCACAAAGGGGCATTGGCCAGTGGTTTTAGTCTTTAGGGTGGTGCTCACTATCGGGAGGGCTTTGAACCAGTGTCTCTTTTCCAGGCTATAGATTCCTTCGGGGAGGGAGGGTTGGGTAGTGATCACGGGCTTTATGGTCTAATTGCGCACAGTAAACGTGCAGGATAAACTGCCCAGGCCTAAGTGTGTGAGAATAGGTAGAGCTCAGCAGGTGTTCATTGTGTTACTGTGTTTTCCGTTGCTACAATGAATCCCGCAGATGTTCATTTAGCTGGTGGTTCTGAGGCTGGGCCTTCCCAAGAGCTGGGCTCAGTGTGGCGGGGGCCTTCCTGCTGGGTCGGGGCCTGGCACGGAGCATCACATGGTGAGAGAGCAGGCGTGCCAGGGACAACTCACTTTTTCATTCTTTTTAGAAATGTTTAAAACTTTTATTTATGTATTTATTTTTGCAGTACTAGAAATTGAACCCAAAGAATGCTAAACTTAAAAATTGCTAATAAGCCAGGCACACACTGTAATCAATCCTAGTACTCAGGAGGCTGAGACGGGAGGATCATGAGTTTGAGGCCAGCCTTAGTGAGTTGTGGCTAGATGGGAGGATATAGCAACACTGTCTTAAAAATGCTAATCTAATACTTTGTTTCCTCATACTATGTTCTAAGTGGTTTAGCTAGTCCATATGTGCTACCTTAATCAGATGAGCCTCAGTTTAAATTCCCATTCCCAATAGCCACAGTGGCGGCCAGGCGTGGTGGTGCACACCTGTAATCCCAGCACTGGGGAGGCTGAAGCAGGAGGCTCGCTGGAGTTCAAGACCAGCCTGGGCTACATAGTGAGTTCCAGGTCAGTCTCAACTACATGGTGAGACCCTGTCT